CGAGGCCGCTTAGCCGCTTAATGCGGTTCGTCTTGAAGGGCCCGCGTTACCCCTGATCACTGAGCCATTATGCGGGAGTCAAGTGTAACTGCGGCTTTATGAGGATCGTGTCTGTCAATAAATGCGGGCTAACGTGTGCAGAGCACCGCGTGAGGAACGCTCCGTGCCCGGGACAGCTCCCAGAGGAACGTCCAGCTCTGACAGATGCACGAGCCCCCACGGACCACTCCCGGTCTGGAGTGGGTCTGCCTTTTTAAATGAACAAGTCTGTCCGTTTTGGAGTTTGAAAAGTACATTTTGTGTTTTTGGATGTGTACTTTACTGATACTGTAAAAGTGTTTTGTAATTACATTTTGCATTATTCACTTGAACGGTGCATAAAATCTTTAGAAAGTCGTGAGAATTTTGACATTATTCATTTTTATTTTCAAATCCCTTCCAAAAGTGAAAACAACATAGCTAAAACATTCCATTTTCATTATATGTTATAAATTATTTATTCACATTAACATTTTTTGGTGAAATGGTGGGACAAACAACATGGCAATTCTTTCCCCATACCTATTATTTACAGTTCCGTTCTGAAGACAGCTCTATCCTGCCCCTGTTTGGTGTCTTTGAGGGAAACTATAGAAGAGAGGCTTCATTTTGATTTGATCATTTGTCTACAGGATGAGACTTGATAACAAATGTTGCTCTGTACTAGTGTTTATTTCCTATTTCCCTCTGTTGGGACTAAAAAGCAGAAGCCTGAAGGTCCATGGATTGGTGGATTGGTGGAGACCTTCTGTCTGAAACCACAGAAACTGTTCGTTATGGTGCAAAATGCAAGACCCAAATCTGGCAATCTCTTGGAGGCCGCTGAGTGTGGGGTGGCTGTAGGGGGGGGGGCTCAGCTCTGCAGCTCTCTGGAGGCCTCTGAGGCTGGAGGGAAAATGCTGTCGTGCAGCTTTCTGATGTGTTTCTTCAGGTCAAAGTTGCGACAAAAACCTTTGCCACAGGTAACGCACGTGAAAGGCTTCTTGTCGTTGTGCGTGTGCATGTGGAACGTCAAGTTATAGATCTGGTGGAAGGCCTTGTTACAGATAGAGCACTTGTACTGCTTCTCCCCGCTGTGTGTCAGCTTGTGGTTCTTGTAGTTGCCTGAAAAATACAAGAGCGAAGCACAAATAAATATGATATATATATTTGGATATTTGTACAAATATAGATATGTTTTTTTTTATTATTGGTAAATAATGGTCAGATGAGCTAATTAGTTCTGTTAACATTTAACAAGTATTCATATTTAATCTAAAACTGATTAATACAGAATCATTAAATATGAAAAAAAAGCAATAATCTTGTTAACAATCTGTTCAACAACATTGTGTCTCATCTATCTCATACCAACCAAAACCACCTTAACCAGGTTCCCCAAACATCCAAGCATATTATAAATCATAAAAGTAAAAACAGACATCACCAACCAATGTGGCCCGAGTTCTTTTTCCACCTAATATTTCATATGAACCATTTCAACCATTTAAACTTCTAAAAGATTTTACATTTGGATTTAAAAAATAATATGACTTTTTTGTAAATGAAAGACTAAACCTAATAGATGAGCTTTTTTTTTTCTGGAGACCACTGAAAGCATTTAGATTCTTTGGGACTTAGCATTTCGGGGGCTTCAGCAGAGGGCCGGTCACTGGTCAAAGTCCCGGGCTGACCGCTCTGTCTCTGGACAGGATGCTGAACAAACTCACATCCACAGCACCGGCAAACGTGTTTAACGCGTTTTTTAAGCTGTAAAAATGCCCAACCCCACCGCATTTCTAATAATAATAAAAGCGGGGAAAAACCATCCTTTAAAAAGTGAGGATTAAAGAATCACATTTTTCTTTTCTGTTCTTTTCTCCGCCAAACTCCAGAGTTCGTGTTGAAGTCAGAATATGTCGGTCCCTCTGCTGCACATACCCTTCAACAATTAGGGTTTTTTGTGATGAAGTCAAGAAGTTGTCAAACTTAATCTGAATCCAGAACAGCCCGAACAGAAAAAACAAAAGCCCCCGGACCCCGGACTCTCTCTCTGGGGTCTGGCTGCTGACCCACAACAAATCCCGCCGTCTTTAGGAGAGAATTAGTCTGAGAACCGACAAGTCCCATTCTGCTCAGCGCTGTACTCTAATTGTTTCACTAGCTGACAGAGAACAGCTATGTCACACATTTTTTCTTTCGGTAACATATTTCCAGCAGTTCTAAGTGCTCATCCGCGGCAAATGAGCAAGGCATTTCCAGGGTTTCCATCAGCCCTCATCTGGGTAAAAGAGCCGGAATGTAAACTGTCATTTTTGGCTTAAAAAAAAAACATGACTCGTAGAATATATCTTAAAAACATCGACATTAAAGAAACTAGAAAAAAAACTGTAAATAATTTGCAAACCTAAAGTAAGATGTTAAACTCCCATAAATCAAGATATCAGATTTCTCTATATAGAGAATATATATTATATAGAGTTGTTGAAGCTTTTCTGGTGCATGGATATATCCTGTGTTAAAGGGAAGCCCGTTTTTCCTTTCCCAGCACAGGGTGGTTTTCCCGGTGCAGAATATGCCGGTAACATTAAGCTATTAGCTGTAATTACACACCCATTTGGATTTTTTTTTCTGTGGCCAGAAAACTTTTTTTCCCATTTTTGAGAAAAACATGAGCAAAAAATTACCTTTCTGATGGAAACCTTTCCCGCAGAATTCGCAGACAAAAGGTTTGTAGCCGGCATGGATGCGCACGTGCGTGTTCAGGGTGGAGCTCCTGTTGAAGGCTTTCCCACACTGGCTGCATTTATGAGGCTTTTCCTTTAGAGGAACGGAAACATTTCGGGGGAAAATAGATAGAGAAAATGAACTTTTTGAAAAGAACAGATTGTAATTTATCGGTAATTTCCTGAGTGCGTCTCACCTGCGTGTGGATGATTTTGTGCCTGCAGAGCGTGCTCGCCTGCCGGAAGCCCTTCCCGCACACTTTGCAGACGAAAGGCCGGGCCCCGGTGTGCACGGGCATGTGCCGGGTCAGGTTGTAGTGCGCGTTAAAAACCTGTGGACAGTAAAAAAAATATTGATTTGAAAAAAATAAGGTCGGGACCTTTAGAAATCAAATGTTAAATGACATGTGATTAAAATGTGCTGATGTTCATTTGGAGGCTGCAGAATAAAAAGTCTCAATCTGTCTTTTTTAACGTTGTTGACAAGAAGTTATTTAAATGCACGTTATTCATGTTATTTAAAAACACGACTGTCTAATTAAAGCCTTCAGAAAATGTAAGTTATTTACAGGAGAAAATGCTACAACTAATAGTTTATTTTTACCAATAATTCCAACAGTCCCGTTTTGACCCTTACCTTCCCACACACTTCACAGGTGAAGTTCTTGTGCTTGCCCTCGGTGGGGCTGGCTTTGCTGGCTTTAGCCCCGGTCTTCTCGGCCTGGCCCTGGTGGTCTTTCACTATCTGGTCCAGTTGGCCGGGCAGGTGCTCCTTGTGCGGGTACTGGGGGGTGGGCAGCTTGTCCGGGCCCAGGCCGGCCAGCTTGGCGTTGTCCAGCAGCAGGAGCCGGTGCGGGGCCGGCAGAGGGCTCTGGCTGTGCGCGCTGGTCAGCCAGTGTCCGGCCAGCAGCTCGGACTGCTGGTAGGCAGAGTCCAGGTAGTTCAGGTAGTAGAGCGAGCCGCAGCCGGGCACGGCCACGGCCTGGTGCAGGACCTGCGGCCTCACCAGCCGGCCCCCGGGGCCCGGGGGGGGCTGCTTCAGCCCGGGGCCCGGGGGGGGCTCCTCTCTGCCGCACAGCCCGCAGCTGCCTTTGCAGGGGGGGGCCGCGGAGCCGCACACAGCCCCCCGCAGACTGGCCCGCCACAGCTCCGAGTAGTTCATGAGGGCCTTGGCCTGCAGGTCGTAGCTGAGGGGGGGCAGCGGGATCATGCAGGGGATGGGGGAGCAGAAGCCCAGCAGCCTCTTCCCGTCCGCCCTCTCCTCCGCGCGCCGGCAGGGCTCCGAGCTCCGGGACATGATCCGGTCTATGGAGAAGGCCAGGCTCTTGGGGACGGGGGCAGGGCCGCTCATGCTGCAGGACACCACCGGCTCCAGAGAGGCGGAGGTCTTCATGGTGGGGGTCTGTGTCTGGATGTGCAGCGGAACAGAACTTTGAAGGAGGAACTCCAGTTCTGGCCGTCCGGTCCTCCTGCCCCCCCCCCGTCCTCTGAGCTCCAGCAGAAAACACCAGCACGTCACTTTAATACGCACCTGGCTGTCACAGTGTCGCGCATTTGTATTCAAATGACCAATCCCCTCTCACAAAAGCATCCAGGAGTGATGGATTAGTCCTCATTAACTAGTGCACACAGAATGAAGCAGCCATGACAGAGCTCCTCCGCGGGATGAGCAGAGCTGGGAGAGGAGCGGAAAAACATTTGAAAAGTGGGCTCTGACAGGGAGAGCGGCGGTGTGACGTTGGGATGTGTTGGAACTCTGGCTATTGGTCAGGAGGGAGCAGAGAGAGCCGAACGCACCCCGTCACAAGTGCCCGCCCACCCCGCGGATCACCGCTGACAGCAAACACACCTACAGTCTTTTACTGGGAGAAGAAATGCCCTCATCAACCTTCACGCGACTGAGAAAAGTCTGGAGGGGCTGGCATGGAAAGGCTCCTGAAGAATGCAACATAAACGACAGAGCTGTGCTTCAGGAAAATGCAAAAAAACACTTTCGTTCATGTTTTCATCCCCAAACTGCAAGTGCACGAGCTCAGCCTTCTGTTTCCATCAGACTCATTTACATTTCTCCTTATCTCAGATTCGTCATCTAGGAATTTTAAAAGTGAAAGTTAGAAGAAAGCAACCCCCCTCTGCACGCGGGCTTAATGACCCCCCCATTTTTTAAATCTGAGGACTTCCAATTTCCCCAGTTTAAGAGTGCAGATTCATTTTGGATGCTAAACGTTTTCCTTCCCTCTCACTATTCTAAAGAAGCAATTTTCCAGCGCGATTCAAATCCCAGCTCAGCGCACAGTGAGAGAAAAGAAAAGGAAACAAACATACACGCACGCACACACGCACACACAGGGCTCTTTCACCCCCAGTCTCTAAAGCACCGCGTGAACCAGCTCCCCCCCCCCAAACCCAGGCAGGGATTAGAGAGAGACAGGGAAAATAAAATACTTAACTTGGTCAGAAGTATATTGGGACAGAGTTTTCTTTCTTTCTTTCTCTCTTTCTTTCTTTCTTTCTTTCTTTCTTTCTTTTTCCAAAGACCTGGTTGTAATTCAAAGTGTTGAATAGAAACACAAAGGAGCGCAGGCTTGTGTCTGCAGGCCATTTTATCTGAGGAGTGGTGAGGGGAACAGGAGAGCTCATCCTGCAGGAGGCGGACGGCGGTATTAGATGGAGTTTAGTGGACAAAAGGTGTGTGTCCTCTCAGCAGCAGAGCTCCTACAGGTACTTGTGCAGCACTGAAAGGCGTCTCACAGTTACATGTTCTCAAGGCCATCTTATTCTCATTCCGAGGCACTCCATGCTAGCTTTTCAATGTTTTCTAGGTTGTTATGTATTTTCAAATTGGCTTTTTTAAAACACCATTTTCTAGATGTGATCACTGTTATTCTTTGAGTGTGCCTCTTGGGTTTTTCTAGGGGAGCTGCCCTGACAAATCTTTAGATCTTTTGCTAAAACGTTAAGCATATGAATCAAAACACACACAAACCCCCACCTCAGCTCACCATCTTAGATTAAGTCCCCACATGAAGGCTTTCCTCTGACATTTTTCACGTCTTATCATCAAAGCACAATGGTTTATTTTTATAACACTACTGAATTGTATATGGCAAAGCTTCAGAACGCTTCCAATAAAATATGGATAAGGCCTGAATCAATGTGAATCAAACAGATCAAAGAAAGCTGAAAACTCCCAATTAAATTATAGTTACATTTTAGCCCTTCGAAATAATTTAATAGTCTATGTATAAATATGAATTATTAACTATGTATCTGAAATCTTCTTGTGTATAGGAGTTTAAACTGCACTCTGGTGTGTGATTGTATTATGTTTAAAGGGTGATGGAATACATTTTTCTGAAGGCTTCTTAGTTTTCTTAAGGAAACAGAAAAGATAAAAACAGCAACATATTATTAGAAATAAACAGAAGTATACATATATACACATGTACATGTGTGCAACTCAATAAGCTCACGGCTAACTCAACACAGGTATTCCATGTGTACATAAAAAATATGGGGGACCCAGAGAGCCAGGGTTTCTGGGTTCCTCTTGTCCCGGAGGACCTAAATAACTCCCTAATAGGGTTACAGAGACTAAACGTCACTATGCTGCAACAGAGTAGTGTTAGGAAACAATGGACTGTAGATTTTTCTTACGTTTTCCCTCAAAAAGTCCCAAATGTGAAACCATAATGTAGGTATATGTTGAGATTGTGTGCGTAGAATGGTGTTGCTGGTATCTCTAATTATGTCTGTATTTAGCTAATATAATTCTGTGGACAATTTTGATATTGGAAGGATGGGGGGGGGGTGTTATATAACTTGATAAGCTAACCTTGACACTTGACATACCATTTTTAAGAGCTAGGGAGTGCTGGGGCACCATTGTTCTTAGAAGACTGAGGGACTGCGTTTGAGACTGTATATGGTGTGTCGCTTATGAAATAATAGAATGCAGATGTGTTTTTTCATGCATAGTGCAGTGGACAGCTATTTAAAAGCTATTTTCTTTTGTATATATGGGTTTTTATGTTTTAAGCCGTAAGCTTATTCCAAGAAAAAATAAATAGTAAAATGTATTTTTTTCACTCTTATTTGGCTTTTTAACAAAATATATATAAAAAAACAATAACTCAAAATGATTTTTTTGTAGTCTTGTACCGAATGTTTTAAGGTATATCTGATTGTGTACAAAAGAGTTTTAAGCTAAGTTTTTAAAATTGAATGATGCTATACGTGTCAGGTGCAAAATATTTCAGAAGATTGAAAAGATAAGAAATGGTATTTTAGGGTTAAATAGGTCACTGAAGTGGAGACTGGTGCGTCATGCATTGGAAAATAAAACGTTCACAATAATATACTGTTAAAGAGGAGCGGGGACAGACTAGAATAAATCAAGAGGTTGAATGATGCATGAGAAAAGGGATGAGATAGTAGTGAATATTTGAAAGTTGCATGCTAAGTTATATGTTTATGCATTCTGTTAACAAATGTCGAAATATGTTCACACTGTAACATGCAGCATTTCATTAGCAAGAAATCTTTAAACAAATGCTAATTGAGTGGGCATCAGTGGGGAAAATCAGAGGGAAAAATCCTTGAACGTAGACAGTTTTGACTAAATAAATTAATAAATCACCTATTTATGCTTTAAGGAAATCAAAAACACTTTGGAAAAAAGTCCTGACTGAACTGATCATAATTCAGGCATGCAAGAGTTAAGTTATACAACGTTTTGTTGATGACTACATAGGATAAACTGGAATATGTAAATAGATCTTGGATCTATTAGAAAACTGATAAAAACATAATACATAGTATAGATCATAATCAAATGGAATAATCATTTATTTGTCACTCGTATTCCAATATTTCGGCAGAAAAGTGACATGCATATAAAAATATAAAGACACACTAAAAATAGCAAATAACAATGAAAACAGTGGTGTAACTATACATTTTAACATTAACAGTATGAATATAATTCTGCTTATCTTGGCCGGCAGAGAAACACTCTGCTGACTGGAAAAGTAGTTTGATTCTATGAATTTACCTAAATTATTAACAGATTCTATGTTATATTTAACCCAGCATGCTGCCATCCCACAACACCACATTTCCTGTTAATAACCTTAAAAAACATGTATTCTCAGTTTTTTCTTACTACTACTTCTCTGCATGGAAGCATTAAGCCTGTTGTCACTCTGTGATTCATATGTAAATGAAGCAAAAGTATTCAGATTTGATTAGTTTAGGCACAGTTCCTACCTCATTCAAGCATCCAAATAAACATTGATCCTATTGCTGTGCCTCTATTGTGTTCAAACAACAACTAGCTCTAGTATTAATTGGTGGAGTTCTTTCTTGCTAACAGGCATTGCAAGACAGAATGGCTGGATATGGCCAAGCTCTTCTTGAAACACAGACATTTTTCTCTTTCCCCAAATTCTATTTAAAAACAAGCCTTGTTTGATGGCAAATCCTATAACCAATAATGGAAGCTTTATTATAACATAGAAGAATTGAATAATAATATCATAGAAAAATACTATATTTATCCCCAAGTAGAGAAAATGCAAATTCTCATTAGTTCACGATTACAATATTTACAATGATTTGAGATTTGAACAAATAATTTCGAGTTACGTGACGCAATGTGAGAAGTGATGGAGTAGGACTGCATTGCATCGCTACCTTCATCCTTTAATACATTTACACCAGATATATAAACAGTCCTTTTTTTAGATTTGAGCTTCAATTTATTCTAAATTTAGAGGGTGCAATAATGTCTAAAAGTGTGGAGATATCAAAAGACATCTACGGTTGCGTTGGGTTGAGGCTGTATTGCAGGATTATAGTTTAGTCTAAAAAGCCTGAGCAGCAGCAGGCTATCGACATAGCTAAAGATATTAGTAACATTTACGCAACACTCAGATTTATAAAGGTTTGGGAGGGCTGGCTGAAATACGTGTGCAGAACCTTGAGAACTGTGCAGGTTCTCTCAAAATCCACATCATCAGCTGTGATAACTTCCGTCCAGCGCTGCAACCCCAAGTCCAGTTTCTGCTGTTTTACGGTCAGTCCCTCACCTGTCAGTTGGCTGACAGGGTGAGGGTCCTCTTCAGTGGAACAGCCACCTCAACAATCCTATGTTCTCAAGACTTTAAAACAAGAGTTTTTGGAGAAAAAAATCTCCCCGGATCTGGCTTGGATGAACCTGGGAGACATTGTCTAAGGAGTGCTGTTGGGTATTAAACAGGGTAGGGATTCATGTCACACACCCTTATGGGAAGTTATCGTTGCCCCACCTGGATGACGGCCTGAGCCACCTGCCTGTCGTCATCCCTTTTTGGCCCCTCCACTAAAGCTTAAAAATCAGACATGTTCCCATGCCCACCCTGTTGCCTCCACAGCACCAACTCGCTGTCTGGGGCACATAGACGGGGTCTTGGTGGGTCAGCTGGGCCTCTAGAACCTGTTCTGAAGATTCCACGCGTGAAGATTCCATCTTTCCGACAAGAAACCTGTTCCCACTCACCCATAGCCTCTTGAGACAGGGTGGCACCCAAAACAGTCAACCCGGGATGAACTCCATTAAACAGCACCTTC